ATAGAACACAAACACCTATAATCAAACACCGGTATTATTTTCGTATTCTACAGCATCAGGGGTTACTTCGCATAGTCTAGGTGGACGATATCATCAGCAAACTGTAAGTTGATGAGACTATTTCCTGATAAGTCTCTAAAGTCAGCTACAGACTATCCTACTAATATATGTGTGATTGAATTGAACTGTTATAAGGATGACAGTTTAAGAATTCAGCCTTGTGTTGCATCCCACTCGTAAATGGGCTTTCTCGGATAATTCGCAAACAGTATTCAGTGAATAGAAAACATTCTGTGGGCTTAATGAAACTCGTAAACTGACGCACTACTTTTGCAGGTACTGTAGTATTTCCTCAATAAAGTGAGAATTGAGTATTTCGGCCGCATAAAACGAGTAAGTAGTATCCTGAGAATACCAATGACTACAACAAGTCTAGGAGTTATGCACTACAACATTTACTTTACTGAATACACCAGCAGACTTTACATAAACACTTGACAGATCAAATTTACACAGGAAGTCAGTAAGATTTAGTAAACTTAAAGTGCTTTCGGTTTCCACAGGAGTTCTCTTGCCAAATTTATTCCTTCAAGGGCCTACAGAGATTAATTCTTCACGAGTTGATCACGGATTGATATCAGTTAGAGAACCATTGAAAACCAGGGAGTACTGGACAGCTGCTGTTTCATCCTAGTTTGGGAATCATCGGCAGTACGCACCCACTGGGATTCGAACCCAGGACCTTCCGGTTACAAGTCAAGCTCGTATACCATTCAGCCACTGGGACCCGATTCAATGGCTCGTGAATTCTAACTTCTACCAATTCGTGATTTAGCGCGACCCCAACCATTGTCGTTGGTGGGACATCCATCCACACACGTGACATCTAATTGGACCTCACTGGTCACGACTTCTCACTAGAACTCAGGAAACTCCAACCTGTAGCAAGTCACTAGCGAATCCCAGTGGGTGCGTACTGCCGATGATTCCCAAACTAGGATGAAACAGCAGCTGTCCAGTACTCCCTGGTTTTCAATGGTTCTCTAACTGATATCAATCCGTGATCAACTCGTAAAACATAACTAATCCTTACAAACCAAAACTATAGAAAATTAATTCTTCAATTAAATACCACTGACGTGGAAGAAATTCCATTCTTCATTACTACACTTAATGAAAAGAATCATGTTTTTTATTTTAAAAACAGGAGCATTCGTAATGTTTTACTTCATGTAAATGCAGTTACATACAGTTGCACTAAGAACTCAACGCAACTCGATACACAATAGTATATACACAAATAAACTGAAAAATAATGTCCTCCCTACCTTCTAAACAACTTGTCCTTATTCCAGGATTATAATTTTTTCACCTGTGAGCCTGAGTTATGTCTACGAAATTGCAATATTACATCAGTTAAATCTTCCCCAAAACCAAGGCCACTTAAAACCAATAGCAACATAGCAACAAGCGTCACTGAGGGGATATGCAATAAAGTCGCTCTCTCTGACGTCCTCATTTGTTTCGTGTATGGTCCAGAGAGGGCTGACTGGATAAATGAGGGAAGTGACCTCTTACAAGTCGATTCTATCTATACTGACTTGCGCTTGCTGTTGTTGCCTGGCTGCTTTAATTTCCAGCGACTTCAGTGCTTAATTAAGGTCCTATCATTTCTGCTGCTTGTTCTCTCGAATTGTTGGTTTCGGCTGGTAAGTCCTCGAGTCTGCGTGACATTATACACAAGCCATCAGTGAATTTCAGATCTTCTACAGTCTTCTTATCCGTTCAACAAACTGCTGTCTTCTTGATTATTACGGTCTGCCGTATAACTTGGTCCACCGAAATCAGGGCTATCAACGTTGATAGTAGGTAGCTTTCTCTCCCATCCCACTATGTTTTCCACTTTGAGCCACATAGCTATTCAGTGATAAAAGTCGGATACACTCCGTATTTTTGCAGGAGTTTCCAGATCACTTATATCGAGGGTGCTTTCAAAATGGATGAGGTTGAGGTGGCGATTGACAGTCACCCTGTGCTGTGTACAGTGAATGACGTTGCACTTGATTTCGTTTTCCTGAATCTAGCTTGTTCCAGTAGGAGTTCTGCTACCAGAACATTTTAGTCTCTCAAGGATGGCGCGACGTAGTGCTTCGCTTGATGTGGACAACAACATGATTCTGCACCAATTCTCACAAAGGACTTAGTCGCTCTTCTCCCAATCAATCGGTGCCTTCCTCACTTCAAAACTTTCTGTAACAGCGGCGTGAGGGTATCTCTTGAGATCTTTGGGTCCATTTTGAGTGCCTCCATTCGAATTCCACCTGGCTTTGCTGCCTCCCTAACTCTAGGTTATTTTACGACATTCAGTACCTCTGCATAGTGGGATGACTGGTATTTCCTAGTAGATCTTCGGCTGTCGTAGGTTGCGGTCGGTTCAGCATTACTTCAAAGTGATCAACCCATCGTTTCCTTTTCTTTCTCACCTTGATAATTACGTTCCCTTCACTATCTTTCACTGGTTTACTCCTCGTTGACCTTCCCATAATTGCTGACCGACTGTTTGACATGGTCCTCTGGAGTTTCTCCTGAAGTCCCTCTTACTCGTGGTCTGTTACGCCAAAGTTGTCAAAGTTTTTTGTAATTATTTTCTGTCCCCCTTCTGCAATTCTACACACTTTATTTAGTGCACTGTAGACTGACATCTGATCCTACTACTGTTGTCCATCCTCTCATTGGCTCATCTTCTTTTTAATCAACGCCACTAATCTATTTGCATCCAAGTGTTCTTCGAAGCCATTCTTTTTCGTGCCCATCCTTCCTTCCCAAGATAGTTCCCCTCAAAATGTGTTGACAAGGACGGATGGTTAGCTTTTCAATATGCATCATATTTCCTTCTTGGGTTGGTCATAATTTCTAAAAATTTAGCAGTCTAGTTGCTTAGGAGACGAGCCGAGTCAGTCAAGTCACATAAACCGTTAATGACCAGCCCTTGCTTCTCTGGGCCTCACGCTGTCCCTCGAAGATTTTCAGAAACGCTTAGTATTAACCGACGCAAAAACCAAAACACTGTTTGTCGACTCAAGAATTCTTTATTCTAACGCCAACATATAACCAGCAATACTGGTATTACAGACTAAGGTCTAAGAACACATATTACAACAATGAATCACGATATTACTTCCTGAACAGCGAACGACGAGACGATGACTGTCAGATTGATGACACACGAAAATTATGGGGAAGTTGGGTTTGAGCAAACAACCACGAATTGATCGTTCAATCTTCAACTACATTGACAAGCCGAATTGACCTACTGTTGAATAACTTCTCAGCCACTAAGAAAGAACTATGAATGCGGTACGCAGCACTAGTACAAGTTTTCTTTTCGTCTTCTCAGGTAATAAGTTAAGTAAATATTTGATAAATTGATGGAGCACTTACTTGACGATACCATATTGTTACTAAAGGTTAGTGAACCTAATCTTCCACTTAAAGTCAGAATAATAATCCCACCTATGTAACTAGTTGCAGAGTTGCTGATGAAATGAGACATCTACGCAATTTCTGTATGTACATTTACGGAAACCTGACCACTACAGTCCCATGAGAAAATGAAGCAATTCCTTAATCTCAAATTACTAACTTTGCAATGCTTATGTGTACTAATGCTATTACTGGGACAGTTCATAGTTAAACAATGAAATCACATCGAAATGTGGTAACCCACTTTTAAGAACTCACGAACTACTATGGTAGTTATGTTTCTTTAATGTTCATTATTTGAAATATTTTGATCATTATGTTCAGCATGTTAGGAGTGTCTAACTCTATGAGTAAGAAATATTTGATATTGGGTACTACTTAGGTGTACAAGCATCCACGTGTGCTTACGCACACTTACCAGTAGCCTGCAGCCATGAATGTTGTGTATATAAATGTACACAATGCAACTAACGTTTTGATGGACGTTGGGTGCTGGGAAGACAGAGTTTCTGAGGTCATCATCACCTGCGGACAGTCGATGACAAAACGGTCTTAGAATAACAAAAATTCACAGCAAAACTATGTAAATAAAGAAGGGGAAGTAAAGGCAGCGACAATGCTAAAAACAAAAGCGTGACGGAGAATAATTATTAGGAAGACTTCTCACTGGTTAGATTGCATAAAGAACCACTGTGAACTACATATTAATTTGGAGGGTCCCCCCAAGTAGTCATCTATTATGACCAAAGTCTGCATATTGCAGTGCCTTTACTAGTCTTTTGAACCTTTCAACACCAATTTTTCCTGTAACTATTTTTACAGCCGAAGATGACGCGGTTGAACCTCGGTCGAGTTTATGAGTCTTTTGATTTTCCAAACCATCATTAATAAACGAAATAGCACAAGACAATTGAATGTATTGACTCGGATGGTTATCGATTTATTAGAGTGGGTTAGACACTTATTTCTTCATGGAGAACTAAGAAGCCAAAGAGACTGGCCCCCTTTCCCGTTTAACGCTTCAGGCTGTGGTTACATGGAAGGGAAGGTTCTAATTTAAAAATTCTGTTAGCCCAAATATAGAAAGGGTCATTGAGGCATTGGTTGCCATGATAGTGTAGGATATACGAACAGGGTCAACAAATATGGCTATCAGTAGATTTTTAAAAGATGGCCCCAGTCACTAAACAACTCCCGGAGGAAATGGTGTCTGCGCCTTCAATCGACAAATGCAATAAGCTTATAGAGGATTAGGACGTTGTGGAGTCATTCATTCCTTAGAAAATTCAACTTGAACTTCATCTCCTGTTAGAAATGAAATGGTGTGATCCATCCAAACAGGTGGAGAAGTGGGGGATGTAGTACTTAAAAACTGAAGACCTCAGTAACGTGTTAAAATTGAATCTTTTCAATGGGCGGGTAGTAAGATATTTGCCCATGTGGCGCGCATGATAAGCAACTTCATTAAGAGTCGCGTGGTATCGTACTGTAGCACCATCCCACTCTTTTCCCGCACGATGTCAGCTATTCATAAGGAAAATGAAGTGGCGTATGTATCACTTTTTACACTATCATTAACATTTATAGAATACCCAAAACAACCGGTTCTGACAGTCAAAATAATGAAATTGATGCCACAGTAAGTCACAATATTCCAATTGGTTAATATTCCAATAGAGTTACCATGAAATGAGAAAAAATGCAGTTGCAGAACTCAAAAGGTCAAATAAAAATCCATATCCACATAAGTTCCACGTATCAATATCATTGGGCGAGTTCATTGAAAAGTATTCATCTCTGTGTCCTGGAGAACATTTGGATGATGTTTGCGTCAGCGTTTCAGGTAATTTTCAGCTTTTAATTTTACTAGTTTCATTTTACAGGCCGTGTTCATGCTAAGCGATCAGCTGGCTCCAAATTAGTTTTTTATGATATTCGATCAGAGGAGAGTAAATTACAAGTGATGGCAAATGTGCGTAATTACAAATCCGAACCGGAATTTGAAGAAATAAATGACAGAATTCACTTGGGAGATATCATAGGATGTGTTGGTATACCAGGTACTAAATTGTTCCGGTAAATATGTGTATGCTTTCAGGAAAATCTAAGCTTGGTGAATTGAGCATTCTTCCTCGTGAAATAGTACTCCTCTCGCCTTGTTTATACCAACTTCCTCACATGCACTATGGCTTAAAAGATAAGGAAACACGTTTTCGTCAACGTTATCTGGATCTTATGATGAATGAAGATGTCCGACAACGTTTTATTACACGCTCTCGTATTATAAATTACATACGCTCATTCTTGGATGATCTGGGATTCTTAGAGGTAATTCATTTAGAATATATTTCTTATTTGTTGGACACTTTAAAATTTCAAATCTGAAACAACTCCAGTCTGACCCTATATTTGGTTCATTTTTTCCTAAGACCTGTTGTAAATAGTCATGGATGTAGTGTGAAAGTGACTTCCCTGTGATCACTGCTTTGATTGAAAGTTTATGTATGTGGTCGCTCAGGCTTATTCTTTGAATTATGAACTTTCCTACCCAGATTTCTCACTATTCTTCATAGTTAACTATTATTATTATATCCTTTAATTCCTAAAGGAACATAGGGCTCCGACCGCGCGTCTCCATTGCGTTTAGTTCCTCGCCAACGTTTTCACCCCGCCCCAAGTTACCATCACGCTGACGACCAACTCGCCGCTTCCATTTCGGGTTTCACTCAAGCGATGGCCTTTCTAGTGATGTCACTCACTTGATGGTTTGCTTTCTCAGGGCATGGCCACAATCCAATCCACCTCCATTTCTTCCTGATGATATTTGTTGCACAATCGGTTCCTGGCTGGTTCGCTCCCAGAGATCGTTGTTGCTGACCTTTTCTGGCCGGCCGGCCATCTGATCTTGAGTGGTATCGAGCGTGGACAACTAGCTGTTGATGAAGGTGTGTAGTTTGTATGAGGTGCTGTTCATGACGTGCTGACCAAGTCTCTGATCCGATTAGTGAGTAGCACTGACTGACTTCACATCGGACTTGGCAATCCGGATCTTATTTCCATTTTCATGCTGAGTGCTGTTGTCCTCCACACAGACTTGAGAGTAATAAGGGCTTTTCTTGCTTTCCCGATCCTCGCTGCTTTGATATCCTCGTCAGTTCTGTCCACCTGTAGTTGAAACAATGCTTCCCAGTTAGGTGGCTAGGTTGGTAGGTGAAGTAGGTTGTTTCTTTCAGTTTCCTCCCATATATGCCGATTGATTGTTGTCTTGTTGTTGTTGTTGCTGTTGGTGTCGCCAAAGAATCACCTACCTCTATTTCCTCTAAGTTCACCTGAAGTCTTACCTTTAATGCTTCTTCTGCCAACTTGTTGCTTTTCACTTGCATGTCTTTCAGTTTGTGGCAAATCAGACATGTATATCACATTGGCGAAGTCCAGATCCTCCAAGTATTTTGTGAGGGTCCATTTTATGCCTGTTTCCTCGCTGCCCGGCCCGCTGTTTGTCGCATTATCCACTACTTAATGTTTTGTAACCTCAAAATTATTTCTGACTTCTGTTGATATTAGATAGAGAAATCGACAGGAAGCCTTATTTGACCAAGGCCTTGGACTTAGGTTTCATACTAGTTGGCACTCATCATCATCAGTTGCAAACCTGATGGATAGAATTCAGTCTGCATCAAAGAATGGACTAGACACGTTACTAGTTACTGTGACTAGTGTCCAATCAAAATAATAATTACATTTTCTCTCTTTCTCTAATTGATTACTTCCCCCTGTTAAGTTATATCAGACTAAATGCACTAGACTGCATATTTCTGTTCTGGATTGAATTTCTAGTGTCGACTTTAACACAAGTGCTGTTCTGTTAGCATCACTTTCCTCCATAGCGATTATCTTTTTGTTACTGTCTTCGCTTAGTGAAATGAATTGGTTTTACGGCTGTTAGACCTGGTCATGCAGAGTGGAAAACATGAAAAGATTAGCTGTCTTCGATCATAGGTGGCACCTGCGTTCTATCTCCCATTTGTGCTAAGTGGTATAATAAGGTGAGGATTATTGAGGTCTTTTCTTGTGCCACTTAGTGCTACTGCTCGGTTTGTTAGACACTTAACTAAGCCTGCCTTGTTGATTTTTATTGAAATATGTAGTCAATTCCACACATGTATATAAATGAAGGAAACAAGAAAGTTGTGTGAGTGAGTGACTTGATATGATAATGAGTGGGATCAATAATAAATTGTGCTCGAAATGGCGTGTGGTCGCATCAGTTTATATTACTGTATAACAAACACTACACTACACTGTGACAGTTTATCAAAATAATCTTACCCATAATGGAATTTATAATCAAATAAAGATAAATGTGAGCAGCAATCAATACCACTTTTGCTCTTCATCATTAAGACGTCTGTATTCGTATTAGTTTTACTATGAAAGCCAACCTTAGTTTTTAAGGATAAATTTTAAGACTAGCCGAATTGCTTAAAATTAATTCCTCTTTCTTAAATTCACCTGTTTTAACCATCCATCCATCCATATATGTATACCCCAACTTTTTAGGTGGAAACCCCAATGATGAATACAATTGCCGGTGGGGCATCAGCTAAACCATTCGTCACATATCATAATGAACTGAATATGAATTTGTTTATGCGTGTCGCCCCTGAACTGTACCTGAAAATGCTTGTCGTTGGCGGGCTGAATCGCGTCTATGAGATTGGCCGTGTATTCAGAAACGAAGGCATCGATCTGACGCATAATCCAGAGTTCACATCGTGTGAATTTTATATGGCCTATGCAGATTATGAAGATTTAATGACAATCACTGAGGATTTACTTTCAGGTAATTTTTTTAAAATTTATTTTTGATTACAGCTTGATTTCACACCGTACTTTTTTGGTATAAGCCATGAAATTTTTTCAGCATGTGTGATATCGGTAGCCAAAAATTTCGCAGGCTGATGAATTGATATCAGGTGTAACGCGTCGGTGGCAGCGGATCGAACCTTCCGGACCAACCATGTACACATGGTGGGCGAAAGTGCTAACCGCTCTGTGCCACCGATGCACACTGACCTACCAGAGTGTGATTTTGTGTGAAGCACTAATATTTTTTGGATTATTCATTTAAGCAAATTAAAACAAATAGTCCCTTTGATAAATTTGAATAATCATATGCATCCAAATATCCGAATGTGACTTCCGAACTATAATCGAATAACAAACTCGGTTACCTAGATATTACAGTGACCAAGAGAGATGATGGAACGGGTCAGCGATCTATTTTTCGTAAACAGACATGGAGACATGGACAATATCTTCATTTTACCAGTTTTGTTCCTAACCAGTATAAACGTCCCCCCCTGGTGAAATGTTTGTTCTCAAGGGCCCGAAAAATATGCACGAGTGACACATGGTGATGGATGAGTTTCGACATATACATTCAGTTTTTATTAGCTAATGGTTATCCAGAAAACTTTATCACTTGTCACAGTAAGGATAGACCACATCTAGAAAAGACAGCTTCTGTACCAAAGAAAGCTATCTTTATAAACAACCTACCATTCAAGGGTGACCAGACCATGCAGTTGTGACAGCTAGCTCAAAGACTTCGGTCAGCCATCAAATACACATTCTACACAACCACATCTCTTTTTCTCACATGCCGAACATTTACAATCCCTGTACCTATCTAAGATTAAAGGACGAAATTCTGTGGACTCTATTTCAAACTGTATCTACAAGTTGACCCGCAGTTTTTGCGCCGACACACACCTATATAGGTAGAACCAATAGAATGCTCCAATGTCGTGATCGAAAAGAACATGTTCCAAAATAGTCACTAAATGACAAAGAAAATCCTACCAATGCATTCATTAATCTGAATAGAAATCCAGAATCATCGTCATCCATTGCTAAACACTTATTAATGAATGTCAGGTCACAAAATCAATCCATATTTATTGACGACTGGTTCACAATTATTTCATCACATAACTCTAATTCAAGGTTGGTTGATTATTGAAGGTGATGGAAGCACACCTTTCGGGGATTAATCACATACAGCCTAAACTAACTGTGTGTACAGTCAAAACACAATAGACTTTAATCTTCGTCTACCATGGAGTACATGACCTTTTAACTGAGTAATTGTCATGAACATTATTTTATTATTGTTAACCACGTTAGTTGTAATGCGGTTGTAAAGCGGAAACTACGAAGTGACGATATCATCTCGCGGCGAAATTTGTCTTCTAAATGCCTTATTCAGATTATTTATTTATCCATACTGTAATCCTGTTTTTATCTCTCATGAGCATTAGTTTCACATTTTTCTGTAGTATTACTCTTCGTGATAGTGTGATATCAGGTGAAGTTATTATTACACATAACGTTCATGAACAACCTTGCTATGTTGTGATACTGAAAGAGAAACTATAACAGCTGATGTTGACAAATGTTTTTTCCTGTCCTGCGCATGCAGCAATTTTTGTTGATGGACTAGGTTGAAAAGTCATTAATATATGTCTGTCTGCCTGTCTGTTTTCGACATAGAACCCCTTTGCACCGATGTGCACCAGTTCAAGTCGCCACACTCCACTCCTTGGAGCACACAAAGCAAGAGAAGAAAGTACAAGAAAAGCATAATAGAGCTGTGAGACAAAGGAGTAGTAGTAACGAAAAACAAAACAGTTTCATTGGAAACCACAAGTCACAAGGGGTGGATGCATCTGCGCCACTGAGAACGATTTTGAGCCATGTCACCAATTGTTTCCATCCATTGATTTTAACCGTCCCGAGGACCCCAACCTGGAAGTCAACATTTTCCCACGTGACTTACGCTAACTGTTGTAGATTTCATTGACTGGTGCCATGTTTTTGTTCGACCTCCACTAACTTCTTTCCAGCCTCACCCTATATCACCTAACATTGCCCATTAGTCGAGGAAGGCGATGACTAGGCACGCATGCGTAACACATGTCCTAACCATCTTAGTCGATGTAACTTCACAACCTCGTCGATTGATTTCCGCTGCTTACCTAGAACTCGACCAACGCCTAACCTCAATATTGCTCATCTTATTATACCACTTACCACACACGGGAAATAGAACGCAGGCACCTACAATCAAAGATAGCCAATCTTTTCATGTCTTCCACTCTCAATGGCCAGGTTTCACAGCCATAAACAAGGATGGAGCGGACTGATGAGCAGTACACCCACCCTTTGTTCGATAGTAGATATCACATCTACTAAGCTAGAGACGGCGTAAACTGGTTTATGCGAAACAAGCCCTCTGTATCAGTAAACAGCTGAGATTTCGTCAGAGATCAACGCGTTGGCGTTGGCTGATGGTACTTCCCAAATAAGTGAAGCGGTCAGCGTGCTCCACCAACCACTTCACTCCCTATTTCTAAACTAGGAGTCAGTCTCGTAACATCATCTTGCATTTGACAGCATGAGCGAATCGCTCTCATGCCAAACATTCGTAGATTGCAGCTCAAGGTGTTTAGAAGACTCTGCTGTATTTTCTCAGCGTCCTCGCCTAGCAGGGAGGACTATATCGTCTGCATATTCTACCTCAACGAGATTATTCCCTCCCCGGTAGCAAGTCAATCCCTGAGTCGCTGAAGTCACTTAGGGTTAATTCCATTAACACATCTATGATGAAGTTGAATAGAAAACGGGATAATGGGCATCCATGTCGGACATCGCTAGTCGTCACAACTTCAGATGACAACTCATCGTAAGCCCTCACCTGGCTGATGGCATGAGTACTAGTAGAGTGGCTTGACCAGTGCAATGTATTTTCTCGGGATTCCCTTTACAGCCAAGCATCGCCAGAGCCTGTGTCTATATCCCATTAAGGGAGGGTTGGATGTTCGGAAGGTTGAGCGTGGCTATGGGCCAATTAAACTGCTCTTCTTAGTGCTGTTTCCAGAGTTCCAGTCGTCTATCCTGGGAGCTAATTATAGTGCCATTTTTCTCCGAGATATTAATATATGTGTAAAACTTGGACACTGTCGTGGTAGTAAGTAATTCCATATTAGTTTGTTTATTAGATGTATCACACAGTCAGTGAGTTTAACTGTATTATTGGATACTACTAATAACAGTGACAACTTGTGGTTTCCAATGAAACTATATTGTTCTTCATTATTACTATTCCTTTGTCTCACACCTCTGTTTGCTGTCTCTCTCTATTATGCATTTCTTCTACTTTCTTCTGTTGCTTTATGTGGAGTGTGACGACTTGAACTGGTGCACATCGATGCGAAGGGGTTCTATGTTGAAAACATACAGACCGACTTTATCTACTGTATTTTATTGTCTTTTGTCAAAGTTAGTTTAACTAACATTAACTTTTGTCAATTTATTATTGACGGATTTTTTCATCCTTGTACACAACAGGTCTTATTAAGCATCTCTTTGGATCGTATATTATTAAGTATCATCCAGATGGACCAGAATCTGAAGCCATCACGGTTGACTGTACACCACCGTTTAAACGTATCCATTTCTATGATGATTTAGCCGCTAAACTTAATGTACAGCTACCTCCTCCAGACACTCTGCATACAGAAGAAGCGCGACAATTTTTCATGAAAATTGCAACACAACATGGAGTTGATTGTCCAGAGCCAAGAACTACAGCCCGATTACTTGACAAGGTAAATTGATAATTTCATAGCATAAATGTATTCTGTAATATTGTCAGAGGAGTTACTTTCGCCGTATAATTTATTTAGAAAACCGAAAGATTGAGCTGAGTGTAGAAATATTTACTTTTCAATTAGTTCCCCCCTCATCTCACTCTGGCTCTACTCTACTTGAATATACACGTACATGTAGCATTTTTATTACAATACACAACAAATAATTTACCAATCAGGTAGTGGCACTGATATGTTTGTTTGTTAACAATAATTAGTCAGTCAGTGTCAACATGTTAATGGGGTGATAATTTATTTTTTTATATTTTTTATTTACAGCTTGACTCCACACTGTATTCTTGGTACAAGTATGGAATTTTCAGCATGGATATCGGTGGCCCAAATTTTGCAGGCCGACCATAGATATCAGGTGTGCACCGGCGTGGGCTCGAACCCCGGACCATGTGCATGGTCGGTGAGAGTCCTAACCACTGGTGCCACCGACGCACGAAGAAAATTAATATGCATTTAAAAGGTAGAAATGGTTAGAATAAATTCATGATCACACAGGTTTGGCTTCTTCTTCGTCAGGTGGATTCCTATTGCTTCAGCTGTCGTATATAGAAGACGAACTCATAAAGCCAAATTAAGATTAGTAGGAACGAGATAAATAATTTTAAATGCAGTATTAACGTCAACCTTATGCTCACTAGGTGTCTACAAGGTGTGCTAAAATAGAGCTAGCTACGAATAGATCTTGTATGTCCCTTGCTTAACTGTGGTATGCAGGATGATGTTTGGAAATACGATGATGAACTTGACTAATTGTACGCCCCCAATGTAGCTGGCTGGCTCCGCAGCTACAATCAGACTGGTAGATACACATATAGGAGGCGGCGGCGAATTTAGGTAGTTTATCCTTATCTCTCGAACGTAGAATAGGGGTGGTTGTGAAGAGACGACGTACCGCCTCTGCTGCATATTAAGCTCTATTAACTGCATTCTTCAGGTGCTCGCTGATGTTGTCACCGAGGAACTGCAGTTCTATGAACATTGTTTTTTTCGGAACTGTTGCCATACTGACTCTCATAGGTGCTGCTGAATTCATATATTTCTCAATGAGTTTATCTGGATAACCATTTCTTTTTCTAAGTAATTCTCTAATAATCTTAAGCTCCTCATTGAGACAGTCGTCTGAACAGATTAACCTAGCTAGCTCTATGAACCAGACACTTTACCAGGTTACGCGTTTTTATATTTCAAGGGTAAAAAACTCATAAAATGAGTGTACTGACCTGTTGTTGTAGGTTTCCTAAACACACACACACACACACTGTTTCTTAGTGTGCCATCCTCTTTCCTTGCCATGAAGGTGTCTAGAAATGAGATGCTGTCATTGCTTTCTTTCTTTATGGTAAAGTTTATTACTGAATGGGTATCATTAAACGTCTCAAGGATGTTCATTGCATCACTCTCGTCTTTCATAACCAGAAATGTATCGCATCTATATATCGACCGTAGAAATCCAAGTCATTAATTGGTCCATTCTCTAACTTAGCGAGGAAAAAAAATTATCTAGGATTGGAGCTATTGGGGGGCGAACCCATGGCTACACCATCAATTTTTCCGTGATATTCCTTATTGAATATGAAATGAACGTTCATTGTACACCTTAAAATAATTTATAATTTATTTATTTATAATTTATTGACAACGATTAAGGTTATTGATATAACTGTCAATCATATATGCTATTCTCTCTGTCATTATACGGGTTTATTTTTGTTGTTGAGAAGTATTTCTGAACTGTGTCTTCAGCCTATACCAACTATATATTCAGCGAAGAGACTCTTTTCAACAAAGAACTTATTATCAAGCTGTACAATCGCATATACACATGTGGTTTTTAAGAAATTATATCCGGTGAGGGAGGGAATCGGATCAAAGGTGTGAATACATGAAATAATAATAATACTAGTAGTAGTAGAATGAAATTCAATTAAAATATTTGTGATTATAATCATAGTTAAATGTCAAGTGGCAAAATAATTAATGTCATGTATAGAATAATTACATATGACGTTCACCAGGCGCAAGTTGTCCTCTACCTTTGTAAAAGAAAGATAAGCTCCCCGTCTGCCCACCTATGTGTGCATCTATCAATTCAACTGATCCTCTTGTGGGGTAAGGTATATTAGCCGTAGTCAGAGGACGCCGCTTTCCACCGAACGGAGACGGGAACATATATTCCAACAGCATGGTATTACAAGAGAGAAAGGAAGTGTGTGTGTGTATGTGCGAAGCTCTATTCTGGAACACCTGATCGACTTCTGTCACTCCACACCAACTCCGACCATGATTTCAAGATCATATATAGGATCCATACTAACTTGCTGGCCGCGTTTTCATCGTTATAGACTTCTAAAGATAGCGGAGGCCTTAACCTTTCATGACTTTAAGTCAGCCAGACGTTTGTGTACAAAAGAAGTATGTACAATCCGTACTTCTGCCTTGGCCGTAGAGGGATAGACACTTATTTATTTTGTTTTAGTTATTCTATGTACCTTTCCCTTATTACTACGATTATTATTATCATGATTATTATTATTATTACTATTCTCACTCTGAATTGTTTCCACTTGTCATTTGAACCCAAAATTATTCATTTTTTTATTTTTACAATATTAGATTCTGTCTTATCAGATTTCACATCGTGTTACGTAACATTTTATATTCGCCTACTAATCTTATAATTATCCACCCCTTCCCTTATGTATTACTATTCTATATATGACATTAACTGTTTTGCCACTTGACAATAAACTATGATTATAATCACAAATATTTTAGTTGCATTTCATACTACTACTACTATTATTTCATGAATTCACACGTTTGATCTAATTCCCCCCGCTCACCGGTTATAATTTCTTTGAAAACCATTTGTGTATATACGATTGTACAGCTTGATAGTAAATTCGTTGTTGAAAAGAGTCTCTTCGGTGAATATATATTGTGTTCTTAATGCTACAATGGGAATTATTAAATTACACCACATATACATACCGAAGTTGAAACATTCTTCTACCAACGCTCTATAGGAAAGTGGACAAGACTATTGAAAGTGAACGGTTAAAACCACTTTAATTGTTTCCAGTAGTTTACGCATGCATGTTCTGATAGTATAAACCCTGCATTGATTAAAGTGAAAGGCAATTGTGAAGCTCACATGTGATCGAAATAGAGTAAGCTGAAAAAAATAGTCCAGATTTAGCCATACGTATTCTCAACAGCTACGATATTGAGTCCCAACACAGGTCGACAAATCGACGTACAATATATTGTATGGTTGAAAAAATTTAACCTCTTACTGTGATAAAAGTATAAAACTTCGGCTAGCACTGTGATGGTAGAGTATAACTACTCCATTATGCATAAGATTTTAGCTTCATAAGCTGTCACACAGTGCAGTGTAGTGTTTGTTATACAGTAAGTAATATTAACTGATCCGACCACACGCCATTTCAAGCACAATTTATTATTGCCACTCATAATCATCACATCAGGTCACTCACTCACCCACACAACTTTCTTGTTACCTTCATTTATATACACATGAGTGGAATTGATGATTAGACTACTTACTTTACTTTCCTTCGGCTATCTCCTACGGGAGGATGAGCCGGCTTCATGAACGTCTCGAATCATCGCTGCCCAGGCGTGGCAATTTGTAAGAGAGTTCATGAAGTTTCATGGGAATTTGGTACGAGTGATGTCCCCCCAGAATCGCTCGGCCTTTTGTTTGAGAGTGCAGCTCTAGCCTTTACACAGCCAAGTGTGACCTACAAGGCAGTAGGAGTGGAGTAAGGAGTCCACTATCCATTGGCAGCCAGTGACCGGAGTTCGGTTCATACGCCTTTTTGAATGGGGCCAGACATCCAATAAGCCCTTTGTCCATACGTCTGCCTACCGGTGAGCTTCATACGCCAGTCGTTGGAGGTTTGGAATCAGGCAGGGTTGAGCCATCTCCCCTAGACTGTCATCCAATGGACAGTCAGTCAACCCGGTGAAGAGCGCCGGTCATCCGCTTTTGCCCTGTCACTTCGGTGAAAAAAACACCTCCGCCACGTGAAGGCAGTGAGGACTGAAGACTTTCTGAGGAGAGGCTATGTAAGACGCCCGGTCATATGGGAGCATTTCAAGAGGTGTGCGGAGGGGTGGCCAACCCGCAGCGCAAGGCACCCACCCCCGACCATCCTGAGGCTTTGGATGATTGGACATTTGAATACAAATCAGTAATATGGGATAATGTACATTCAGAAATAATAATCATAATAATATGAGTGTTATGAGTGATCAATTACAATAATCAGATGGGAAATGAGACGAGTGTTTTTGTTTTATAGTCAAAATAAGTGAGTACCTTGTTAGAATGTTGTGATGATGTACGTGAATTGAATTGAAATAGAATACAATTTAAGGTTATTTATTATCCTCCTCTGATTTCACTGACTAACTGACTGGTGGTAATAATATCTTCCATGCATATCTGTGGTATTTGCATTGAGTCATTTCTGTTGCATGTGTTGTGTTGTGTGTAGACTCGATGAACCAGGTAGGATTCAGTGATCAACCTATCTCTCTCTCTCTTCACCTACATGGATTACCTTTTAGAATCTTAGCCCTCTCCCACCCACCATCCTGTGGTGTAGTTGTGTGTTAATGCACGCAAGCAGTGGAAAGTATTAGTGGGCTCTTTTTCTAAATTGCTTATCTTCTCGTGTGGGATCAACCATTCTTACCTTGGGTAAATTCTTATGTTCCGACAATCTGACTACCCCTGACCTAATAGTTTAACCTAGGGAGGTTAAAATTCTGAAAAAAAATCTAGGTAGGTAGAAATAGAGAGAGACGTTGATTACTGAATCCTCCCTGGTTCATCGAGTCTCAACCCAACACAACACAACACATGCAACAGAAATGACTCAATGCAAATACCATAAATATTATTGGAAGATATTATTTTTTTATTTTTGATTATAGCTTGATTCCACACTGTATTTTTTACAAGTATGGAATTTTCATCATGGATATCGGTGACCCAAATTTTGCAGGCCGACCATAGATATCAGGTGTGCTTCGGCAGCGGATCGAACCACAGACGATGTACATGGTCGGCGAGAGTCCTAACCACTGTGCCATCGGTGCACAACCAGACATTCAGCCAAATCAGAGGAGGATAATGAATAACCTTAAATTGTATTCTATTTCAATTCAATTCACGTACATCATCACAACATTCTAACAAGGTACTCAATTATTTTGACTATAAAACGAAAACACTCGTCTTATTTCCCATCTGATTGTAACTGAGCAATAACACTCATATTGGTTTTATTTCTGAATGTACATTATCCCATATTACTAATTTGTATTCCAATGTCTAATCATCAATTCCACACATGAATATAAATTCAAGTTGTTACACTTCGGAACACAAACATGAAAATGGTAAGTAAAAGTACAATAGCGCTACAAACGTCACAGGTGTGCGTGTGTGTTTGTGAGAGAACATATAATTTCAGTGACGTTCAAAATATGGTTGATATGGGTGGGTAAATAAATTTGTACAGTTGACCCATTTACTCATCATGTTCCCTAATGATTGATTCTCAACTTTTCTAGGATCACAATGGAGCAATTTAACACTACTTAACCAGTTTACAGCAATAGTCAAAAACTTGAGTCATGCCTGTTAAGTTCACCATTCACGACTACTCTCAAACCTTAGCACACTTCATGTGATATTTGTTACACGTGCTCAAGCCACACTGTAGTTTTACTTTTCTCTCGCTGTAGAGACTTATTTTCATTAACTTTGCCATCGGTGATATTCTGGAGTCAGCTGTGAAGGATGTGCGTGAAGGTGGTGTAGATCTGCTACCTGGAGATAGGCTTTTCGACCTCGAGTATGCAGACGATATCGTCTTACTGTGCGATAGCATGCAGGCTGGTCGAATCGCACTTAATCAGTTGGCGATCAGTGTCTGTAAGTGTGCTTTGTACTTTGCACCATCTAAGTGCAAAGTAATGTTACAGGATTATTGGCAGGAGCCTCTGTGCCTGCACTCATTCTTTCGGGTGAACCGCTTGAAGTTGTTGATAAGTTTGTGTATCTGAGTAGTTAGTTGTGTGTGAGTGCTGGCGGAGGGGTGATGGATGAGATTCCCAACCGTATAATACTGAAGGCTAGGGTGACATACATCAACTTGAGTCACCTCTGGCGCCGTCGCGACGTTAGCCTGGCTGTCAAAGGTCAGGTATACAATGCTTCGGTGTGGGCGGGAGGGCTGTCTTGCTCTACGCCTGTGAAACCTGACCTCTCCAAGTAGGCTGAGGATGTTCGATGACTATGCGTGTTCGATCACCGCTGTCTTCGCAGGATTGCTTGCGCTCGATGGATGGCGTCATCGCGTGAGTAATTCTGAGGTTCGGCGGCGTGTGTGTGTTTGAACACAGTGGAGAGATCACCATTGATTGAGTGTCGTCATCTTGAAACACAGGCTCCGATGGCTTGGACATGTGCTGAGAATGTCATTCCACAGGCTTCCTTACAGGTCTCTGTTCGCTGGCCAACCGTGGGAGGGGATGGAAAAGGCGGGAGGGTGGTGGTCAGTCCATGACGATGTGGCGTCGTGAGATGAAGGATGTTTGTGCTAGATTAGCGTCACCGGTTGGTGCGTCACGACTCCCTGGTTGGGGTCCGAGAGGGATAGCTCGAATCGATGGCTGGAAACGTTATTGGATATGGCCAAGAATCATAGTCATCAATGGCGAACGTGTTGCAATTTCCTTCTTTCTTCCCTTCCCGATGATAGTTGACAACAACTGTTTGAACTTGTTAAGTATGAATGTTTTCCTTCCGGGTGAAGTTCTTTATCCGTTCTCTACTTATATTTTTTACTATTGATCTATGTCGTTTTATTTTTATTATTGTGTGGCGCATCCTTCTTGGTGCCATATTGTACCAGGTTTTTTTATGCGTTTAAATAAATAAATATACTTTCATATATTGGCACTCACTAATGAAGAATCATAAGATGTATATATGTTTGAATAAGGCGTTTAGAAGACGAATTTCGCCGCGAGATGATATCGTCACTTCGTAGTTTCCGCTTTACAACCGCATTACAACTAACGTGGTTAACAATAATAAAATAATGTTCATGACAATTACTCAGTTAAAAGGTTATGTACTCCATGGTAGACGAAGATTGAAGTCTATTGTGTTTTGACTGTACACACAGTTAGTTTAGGCTGTATGTGATTAATCCCCGAAAGGTGTGCTTCCATCACCTTCAATAATCAACCAACCTTGAATTAGAGTTGTGATGAAATAATTGTGAACCAGTCGTTAATTAATATGGATTGATTTTGTGACCTGACATTTATTAATAAGTGTTTAGCAATGGATGACTATGATTCTGGATTTCTATGCAGATTAATGAATACATTGATGGGATTTTCTATATGAATTAGTAACGATTTTGGAAGATGTTCTTTTCGACCACGATATTGGAACATTCTGTTGATTCTACCTATATAGGTGTGTGTCAGCGCAAAAACTGCTGGTCAACTTGTAGATACAGTTTGAAGTAGAGTCCACAGAATTTGATTCTTTAATCTTAGATAGGTACAGGGATTGTGAATGTTCGGCAAGTGAGAAAAAGAGATTCGGCATAGAATGATGTGCGTCTGATGGCTGACCGAAGTCTTTGAGCTAGCTGTCACAACTGCATGGTCTGGTCACCCTTGAATGGTAGGTTGTTTATAAAGATAGCTTTCTTTGGTACAGAAGCTATCTTTTCTAGATGTGGTCTATCCTTACTGTGACAATTGATAAAGTTCTCCGGATAACCATTAGCTAATAAAACTGAATGTATATGTCGAAACTCATCCATCACCATGTGTCACTACTCGTGCATATTTTTCGGACCCTTGAGAACAAACATTTCACCAGGGGGGAACGTTTATACTGGTTAGGAACAAAACTGGTAAAATGAAGATATTGTGCATGTCTCCATGTCTGTTTACGGAAAATACATAGCTGAATCGTACCATCATCTCTCTTAGTCATTGTAATATCCAGGGAACCGAGTTTGTTTTTCGATTTATATAACTGAGTAATTGTCATGTGAACTTTATTTTAACTTTGTGAACCATGTTAGTTGTGTAAAGCGGAAACTAGGAAATCGCGATTTCATCTCGGGGCAAAATCCGTCTCCTTAATACCTTCCTTATTCAAATTTATCAAAGGGACTAATTGTTTTAATGTATGTGTTTATCATCAAAATCATTAAGTACTGTCTTATTCTACATATATTTTTTTATTTATTTAAACTCAGAAAAAAATATGGCACGAAGAAATATGCGCCACTTTAAATTTCATTTGTTGTGTGATGGCTGAGTTACTGTTCGGGTGCCCAGACCGAAGCAGGTGGTTTTATTAAGGGACGACCACCGAGCCTTTGTCTTGGAGTCTTATCTGCAAGGCAGCGGAGCAGCGTCAGGAGCTGCATTCCCATGGTTCCCAGTGACCCATATGTGTTCATACGCCATTTGATCCGACTGGATACTGGAGCCCATGTACCTCATGGTAACTGCTTTTAGTCTAACCGCTATCCAAACAACCTTTCTGACATGATAGGACCTGCCAGGACATGAGTCCCAGCCAATTTAGCTTGTTGGGTCACTACGGTATTCAAGCCCGACCACCACGACAAGGTAGGAGTTGTCGGCCGGGAATCCAAGGATGTCACACGTCACACCACTGCCTGCAAGTCACTGTGCGTCATTGGCACAGTGGTTAGCACGCTCGCAGGCTATGCATATAGTCCGTGGTTCGACACATGGCCAACGCCATTCCTTTACCTCACTAAGCCAGAAATAAAAGCTGGTAGGAGAGGAAAGATTCGGCATGAGGCTATTGCAACCCCATCCTGTATAAATAAATACCACTGCTACAGAAACTTTAAGCCTCTAGCTTGAAGGCGATCTATGTTCCACTGGGGAACCTGAAGGAAGTTACTTCAAAAGGTGGATTTATTACGCCGTGATTTTATCAATAATCTAACTTTGCTTTTATTCTCTTTCTTTTCATTCTTATCATTAGTTAGCTGGAGAGTTCCTTGAACCAATGTGTGTCAATCCAACCTTTCTCATCTGTCATCCATGTGTAATGAGTCCTTTATCCAAATGGCATAGATCTCGTCCTGGTTTAACGGAACGCTTTGAATTATTCATGCTGAATAAAGAGCTGTGCAACGCCTATACAGAGTTGAATGATCCAGCTGTACAACGTGAAAGATTTTTAGAGCAAGCAAAGGTGAGTATATGCCCAGTAGTATTATCATTACATGGAGGATTTCATTCATTATGAGCTGACATCAGTGATAAAGAAAAAGAACCACTGAAACCATAGGGGGAGGGGATTGCACAGATGTTTCCGCGTCCTAGTTTGGGACTGGCTATTCAGCAGTACGCACCCACCCCACCCGACTGACAGGGATTTCGAACCCAGACCAGCAAGCTTGTCGACCATTGAGCAGCCACTGGGACCCGATCCAATGGCCGGCCAGTCAGTCAGTCAGTCAGTGCATGAATTCTAACTTCAGCCAATTCATGCACGACATAGCGTGATCATTTTCCAATATGTCTTCTTCGATGATGAGTGTGAGTAGTAACTGCCTCATCTTCAACACTTGCTGTACCCTACTGGTCACGGCTTTTCTAATTATTCAAATATCACCTAATTACAAGGGTTTTTTCCACCACTGTTTTCTTTGATTTAAAGCAAGCCACAAATGTGGTTAATAAATCAGAGTGATTTAATCATGGATTCATCAAATCTCGGTAGAACTCGTCAGCTGCTCAGTACCCTGCATACACGGATGTATATGCTATTGAAATTACATTGGGAGATATAAGACTGATAAGTAAACAAACTACATTGAATTAGTCATGTAGAAAGCCAGGGGAGAGAGAGTATGAGAGATCAAAATTAAGATGAATCGCATTACGCTTCAATTACACATGACTTAGATAAACAATTAGTCATTAGAGAATATAACAAGAATTGCAAACAGACTAATATCAATAGTAATAGTTATAATAACAATAATAATAGTGTTGAAGTGAGTTAAGATAATCCTACTGATAAAGGATAGTTTTAAATGAATCAAGAATACTAATGATAATAAGAGGTAGGATAATAAGTAAAACGTATTACCATGGTAGATTCGGAGTGACGACCATCTCCTTTTGTACACAAAGACCTGATTTATAAACTCGAATTGCACAAGCCTCCTCCGGAATTGCAAGCATCTTCCTGTTTCTTTGTCTGTCTGCTGACAATGGTGAATGACTTGACAGCGCGTCGATATCATATCCATAGTCCGCAAGATGTTTTGTTATTGTTATTGAGGTCTATTTTGGCACTTTGCGCATTCAGATGTTTTCAATCATTTTGGCAAATGCTCCATCATGCGACGGGTAGACAATCGCCTTTCTGTACGACCTATGCGTATTTGCTTCCTATAAACACACACTCGTCAAATTGATATATGCAGTTTAATGTGTCGAGGATCGGCGAGTTCTACCGAAATTTAATGAATCCATCATTTAAGCCATCCTGCTTTATTGCTTGTTTTAAATTCGTATCGGGAAATAAATGTTTTTTCAATTCTTCTTTGTTTTGTTTACTTATTTCCTTCCATCCTTTCTTCCTTCCTTGATCGATCAATCCCAGGACAAAGCTGCTGGTGATGCTGAAGCCATGGTCACAGATGAACAGTTTCTCACTGCGATCAGCTATGGCCTCCCACCGACTGCCGGTTGTGGTATTGGTGTGGACAGGCTAACTATGTTTCTGACAAATACCAATAATATCAAAGAGGTGATTCTATTTCCCGCGATGAAACCAGAAGCGAATGTGCCTGCTCCAGCGAGTGCTGTAGCAGTTACAAACGATACTACAACTGATAACAAAACCTCCAATGTACACAATGCCGAGTCTTCTGCTGTTCCTGCCAGTAACACCAGTCATCTAGAATCAGAATCCTTGAACAGTAATGAAAATACGCTAAGCAGTCCTCCTCGCACCAGTAAAACTTTGTCTTCTCCAACACAAGCAAATCCAACGGTCCAGAATTCTCCACGTCAAGAAGAAGAAAAAGCAGGAGTGGTCAATGAATCTCCTGCATCGGCAGCAAAAAGCGGCAAAAAGAAAAAAGGACGACGATCGTAGTAAATCTTAAGGTGTTCTTTATCTCCTCTGACAGCTTTTGTGTGTTTGTGCATTTCCCCTTTTTTAATGGTGGGTCAAACGTGACAGGTATCAAAAATCACTTCCAAAGAAGTTTTTTTCTTTTTATTCTGCAAAGCGAAAAAGGCGAAATATATACAATATGAGGATTTAAATCATTCTAGGTGTTTTTTTTTAAATTTTCATTCATATTATAAAAAGTGTATATTGCGTTGTACTGAGTGTCCCACTAAGTGTCGGTGTCCGTCGAGGATGCCCATTATCCCCTTTTCTATTCAACTTCATCATAGATGTACTAATGGACTTCAGCGACTCAGGGATTGACTTGCTACCAGGGAGGGAATAATCTCGTTGACGTAGAATATGCAGACGATATAGTCCTCCCTGCTAGGCGAAGACGCTGACAAAATACAGCAGCGTCTTCTAAACACCTTGAGCTGCAATCTACGAATGTTTGGCATGCAAGCGATTCGCTCCCGCCAAATGCAAGATGATGTTACAGGACTGGAATACACCGACTCCTAGATTAGAAATAGGAAGTGAAGTGGTTGGTGAAGCACGTTGACTGCTTCACTTATTTGGGAAGTACCATCAGCCAACGCCAACGGGTTGATCTCTGACGACATCTCAGCACGGATACAGAGGGCTAGTTTCGCCAGTTAACGCTGTCTCTGGCTTAGTAGACGTGGTATCCAGCCGACTATTGACCTAAGGGCGGGTGTACTGCTCATCAGTCCGCTCCGTTCTCCTTTATGGCTGGCTGGTTGTGAGACCTGGCAGTTGAGAGTGGAAGACATAAAAAAGGTTAGCTATCTTTGATTGTAGGTGCCTGCGTTCTCTTTCCCGTGTGTGGTAAGTGGTATAATAAGATGAGCAATCTTGAGGTTAGGCGTTGGTCGAGTTCTAGGTAAGGAGGGGAAATAAATCGACGAGGTTGTGAAGTTACATCGACTGAGATGGCTAGGACATGTGTTACGTATGTCTAGTCATCGCCTTCGTCGACTGATGGGCAATGTTAGCTGACATAGGCTCAGGCTGGGAAAGCGCTAACCAGCGGTGGTCAAACTAAAACATGGCACCAGTCAATGAAATCTACAAGTTAGTCTAAATCACGTAGGAAAGTGTAGACTTCCTGATTCACTGGTTGGGGTCTTCAGGACGGTAAAAATCAATGGATGGAAACAATTGGTGACATGGCTCAAAATCGTTCTGAGTGGCGCAGATGCATGCACTCCTTGTTACTTATGATTTCCAATGAAACTGTTTTGTTCTTCGTTACTACTATTCCTTTGTTGTCTCACACCTCTGTTTACTGTGTCTAATATGCATTCCTTCTACTTTCTTCTGTTGCTTTGTGTTCTACATGGAGTTATATGTCGGAAACAGACAGACAATTAATTAAGATACTCTGCGTTTGCGCTTATGTTTATGAGGAGTGGTTGTCTGAAGTGAAGAAAACCAGTATTAGTTATGTAAGTCCAGGGATGGCCACTGTCAACGCGTTTATCTAGCTTTATGATAGATGAACTAATTAAGGTATTGCCTTTTTTCACTAGATTTAACTCTGAGCAGTTCGCTCTATCCTGCTTTATGGCCAGCTGTGAGATGAGACCTGGTCATTGAAAGTGGAAGATACGAAAAGATCGACTAACTGTCTTCTATCATAGGTGCACATGTTCTATCTCCCGTGTATGTGTTAAGTGGTATAATAAGGTGAGCAACAACATTGAAGTTAGGCGTCGGTCGAGTACTAGGTTGGTGGGAGGGGAAATCAATCGACAATGAGGCTGTGAAATTACATCTATGGTGAGATCTGGCTGTTAGCCAAAATCCGTGGACAGTAATGTACGTCAATGTTTAGGTCCCCAATATTGGTCGTGAGAAAAATGAGAAGCAAGCTTTTGCCTAGGGGGATACAGTTAACATATAGGTGATCTGACATTCAAGAAACAGCCACAAAGATGCAAGGTTACCTTTCTGTGATAAACAAGCAATCAAAGGACTGTGTTTTTCTGCTAACAATAATTTATAATATGTACATGAAAATCTATAAATAAATGTGTTGATTTCCTTAATAAACGATCTGTTGACTGGCTGCCCCTTGTCTTTTGTTGTTACACATCGACTGAGATGGTTAGGATATGTGTTACGTATGCCTAGTCATCGCCTTCGTCGACTGATGGGCAATGTTAGCTGACATAGGCTCAGGCTGGGAAAGCGCTAACCAGCGGTGGTCAAACTAAAACATGGCACCAGTCAATGAAATCTACAAGTTAGTCTAAATCACGTAGGAAAGTGTAGACTTCCTGATTCACTGGTTGGGGTCTTCAGGACGGTAAAAATCAATGGATGGAAACAATTGGTGACATGGCTCAAAATCGTTCTGAGTGGCGCAGATGCATGCACTCCTTGTTACTTATGATTTCCAATGAAACTGTTTTGTTCTTCGTTACTACTATTCCTTTGTTGTCTCACACCTCTGTTTACTGTGTCTAATATGCATTCCTTCTACTTTCTTCTGTTGCTTTGTGTTCTACATGGAGTTATATGTCGGAAACAGACAGACAATTAATTAAGATACTCTGCGTTTGCGCTTATGTTTATGAGGAGTGGTTGTCTGAAGTGAAGAAAACCAGTATTAGTTATGTAAGTCCAGGGATGGCCACTGTCAACGCGTTTATCTAGCTTTATGATAGATGAACTAATTAAGGTATTGCCTTTTTTCACTAGATTTAACTCTGAGCAGTTCGCTCTATCCTGCTTTATGGCCAGCTGTGAGATGAGACCTAGTCATTGAAAGTGGAAGATACGAAAAGATCGACTAACTGTCTTCTATCATAGGTGCACATGTTCTATCTCCCGTGTATGTGTTAAGTGGTATAATAAGGTGAGCAACAACATTGAAGTTAGGCGTCGGTCGAGTACTAGGTTGGTGGGAGGGGAAATCAATCGACAATGAGGCTGTGAAATTACATCTATGGTGAGATCTGGCTGTTAGCCAAAATCCGTGGACAGTAATGTACGTCAATGTTTATGTCCCCAATATTGGTCGTGAGAAAAATGAGAAGCAAGCTTTTGCCTAGGGGGATACAGTTAACATATAGGTGATCTGACATTCAAGAAACAGCCACAAAGATGCAAGGTTACCTTTCTGTGATAAACAAGCAATCAAAGGACTGTGTTTTTCTGCTAACAATAATTTATAATATGTACATGAAAATCTATAAATAAATGTGTTGATTTCCTTAATAAACGATCTGTTGACTGGCTGCCCCTTGTCTTTTGTTGTTACACATCGACTGAGATGGTTAGGATATGTGTTACGTATGTCTAGTCATCGCCTTCGTCGACTGATGGGCAATGTTAGCTGACATAGGCTCAGGCTGGGAAAGCGCTAACCAGCGGTGGTCAAACTAAAACATGGCACCAGTCAATGAAATCTACAAGTTAGTCTAAATCACGTAGGAAAGTGTAGACTTCCTGATTCACTGGTTGGGGTCTTCAGGACGGTAAAAATCAATGGATGGAAACAATTGGTGACATGGCTCAAAATCGTTCTGAGTGGCGCAGATGCATGCACTCCTTGTTACTTATGATTTCCAATGAAACTGTTTTGTTCTTCGTTACTACTATTCCTTTGTTGTCTCACACCTCTGTTTACTGTGTCTAATATGCATTCCTTCTACTTTCTTCTGTTGCTTTGTGTTCTACATGGAGTTATATGTCGGAAACAGACAGACAATTAATTAAGATACTCTGCGTTTGCGCTTATGTTTATGAGGAGTGGTTGTCTGAAGTGAAGAGAACCAGTATTAGTTATGTAAGTCCAGGGATGGCCACTGTCAACGCGTTTATCTAGCTTTATGATAGATGAACTAATTAAGGTATTGCCTTTTTTCACTAGATTTAACTCTGAGCAGTTCGCTCTATCCTGCTTTATGGCCAGCTGTGAGATGAGACCTAGTCATTGAAAGTGGAAGATACGAAAAGATCGACTAACTGTCTTCTATCATAGGTGCACATGTTCTATCTCCCGTGTATGTGTTAAGTGGTATAATAAGGTGAGCAACAACATTGAAGTTAGGCGTCGGTCGAGTACTAGGTTGGTGGGAGGGGAAATCAATCGACAATGAGGCTGTGAAATTACATCTATGGTGAGATCTGGCTGTTAGCCAAAATCCGTGGACAGTAATGTACGTCAATGTTTATGTCCCCAATATTGGTCGTGAGAAAAATGAGAAGCAAGCTTTTGCCTAGGGGGATACAGTTAACATATAGGTGATCTGACATTCAAGAAACAGCCACAAAGATGCAAGGTTACCTTTCTGTGATAAACAAGCAATCAAAGGACTGTGTTTTTCTGCTAACAATAATTTATAATATGTACATGAAAATCTATAAATAAATGTGTTGATTTCCTTAATAAACGATCTGTTGACTGGCTGCCCCTTGTCTTTTGTTGTTACACATCGACTGAGATGGTTAGGATATGTGTTACGTATGTCTAGTCATCGCCTTCGTCGACTGATGGGCAATGTTAGCTGACATAGGCTCAGGCTGGGAAAGCGCTAACCAGCGGTGGTCAAACTAAAACATGGCACCAGTCAATGAAATCTACAAGTTAGTCTAAATCACGTAGGAAAGTGTAGACTTCCTGATTCACTGGTTGGGGTCTTCAGGACGGTAAAAATCAATGGATGGAAACAATTGGTGACATGGCTCAAAATCGTTCTGAGTGGCGCAGATGCATGCACTCCTTGTTACTTATGATTTCCAATGAAACTGTTTTGTTCTTCGTTACTACTATTCCTTTGTTGTCTCACACCTCTGTTTACTGTGTCTAATATGCATTCCTTCTACTTTCTTCTGTTGCTTTGTGTTCTACATGGAGTTATATGTCGGAAACAGACAGACAATTAATTAAGATACTCTGCGTTTGCGCTTATGTTTATGAGGAGTGGTTGTCTGAAGTGAAGAGAACC